TCTTAGTCTTATAGTATTTTTAGGAAACCAAAAATTTTGATGGTATATTTGGAAACAAAACTTTTGTATGTGCAACCTCTAAGAATAGGGTTTAGTCCTTTGGCTTGGGTTTTAGTTCGGCAGGAGTGGCTAAGGTGGTGATTAGGGTGTGGTATAGGCTCGTGGTGAAGGTTGCGGCGGACCTTTAGATTGGTGGTGTGCCGGTCTTTTTCTCGCGAGATTCGGTTTCGTTTCAAATCAACCTCCTTTCTAGGCTTTGCTTTGCTCACCAGTGTTGCTTATCTCTTCCGTCATACTCGCCGAACATTTTTCTTATGTGAGATTGTTTTTAGGCATTTTCTTATTGTCTTATTGGATCGTGGCCTTGGGTTTGGGATTGTGACCTTTCTAGTCCTTCCTTGCTTGAGTCTTCTCTCCCTTTTCGTCTACTGGTTTTATGTTGGTTTTTGGTGGGTTTTATTTTATTGGATTTGGCATTGTAGAGGTAAAAAGTTGGGTTCCTAGCTCGACTTTGCGTTCTGTCATCTTGAAATTTTATGGTTTAGGTTTCTGATTTGGGATTCGTCAGTCGCATCTACTAGTTCTTTCTATGGCTCTTTATGGGTTTGTGGTTGAGTTCAAGATTGTGCAGTGGTTTCGTTCTTCGATTTTTTTTTTGCGAGGAGGTGGCCGACCTTTTGCCTGTTTGTGGCAAAAGGTGGTTTGCCGTGTCCGCATGTAAAAGTTGGTATATCCATACGGATTTTAAGGTTTCTTTTTTATGATTCAATCGTTTCATGTTCTTTGTATCCTTCTCAAGGCGCTAACGGTGTTATTTCTTGTGTTTTGTGCTAGTTTGGTTTTGTTCTCATTTTTGTTGGTGTTGCTGTTACCATGACACTTGTCATTTGGTGCTCTTTGGAATCAAATTGTTCTGTGAAAATTGGTTGTTGGTCATTTCTAGTGCTTTGTCTGAGGATATAATAATTTAAGAATCTTATTTTCTTATCTTTATATGTCATTTTCATATAAGTTGACTATGGCATGGTTTCTCTTCGTTAAGGTTTTGTTTTTGGAGGATAGAAGCACTGCCTGCTTAGTATCTTAATATCGTATTTCATTCTTGTATTTCTCTTGTCCATTATAATGAAATGAAATCCAAACGGCAAAAATGCAATGTTTTTAAAACTGAATCGGCGACCAAATCGAAAAAGCTTTCGGGTAATATGGTCTAACTGGGTTCAACCGGGTTTAATAACTTTTTTTAAATATTAGCTTATATATATTTGGTCTTTTATTTGTCTTCTATTTATATGTCCATATCTATCCAAATATCAACCAACATATTTCAATTATTACAAACATTTGAAAAAACAAAAAAAATTCAATAGCAAAATAAAATTAATTATAGTTACTAACACAATTATAGCAAATTTAAGCGTTTTGGTCTAAATCTTTACATATTTTATAATTTAAAAATACTTTATATGGAAAAAGTTTACTATTTCATTAGTTTTATCAAAAAAATTTGACTAACAACTTAT